TAGGCTAGCACGAATGAGAACTCACCGGAATGGGGGGACATGTCAACCCCGATTGTGCCCCACTACAATGGAAAGTATCTGGGCATGTTCAGAGCAGAATGTGATGAGCTTCCGGCAAAGGGAACTAGGTTCTCCCAAGACTGTCCTTTCCAGAGAAGGCTGTCTTTAGCTCTTTGACATCTGCTGGGTCTCAGCAATACCAGTCTCCATCCTCAGTGCGGTCGGCCCCCAGGTTCCGGCCACCACAGAGCTGACAGAGCAGGTGCACAGTGAATTGTTCTGGAACACAGACCTGGCCAAGGCATTATCCAGACCAGGATGCTCCAGTGGTTCCCACTACACCCGGATGGGGCCCACAGTCCTCCAAAAGGTCCAGCAAACACTGCCAGCAAACTCTCCAGCCCCATCTCCTACTAAGCACCTACCTATCATCCACCTCACTGGGACACCATCCCAGACTGTGTTGCCCCTAGGAAGCCCCTGGGCAGGCAGGCCCCTCCATTCCTTGCTACAGGGCATGGGTTAGCCATAAAGTCTCTCTGGTAGGCTGGGTGCTCCTGGAGGCAGACTATGACTGATCAGTTCTGGCCTAGAGTCAAGCCCCCTGCCCTCACAGAGGGTGCTGATCACTATCACTAACCACAGTGCCATCTGCCTCTGGGCCTCCACTCTGCATCTATATATGAAGCCTGGACTTGATCAGGCATGGCAAATACAGAGGTCACACACTACCACTTACATCCCGGTGTTCATGGCAGACGTCGCCCATCAGTGTCTGCTGAGCCCGTACACGGCTTCAGAATCATTCTCAACAGTGTTCCAGTAGCCACCACCAACCCATCAGGGCTGGCGTCTGAACAGACACGTTGCCTGCTTTTGAGAGAAGATGGCTAGAGTTTCTCTTTCTCCCTCCATCATTTCCTTGCTTTGCTCTTGTTCTCTATTCTCTCTCTAGACAATCAGACGTGTAGCTGACTGCTGTGGAAGAACACTGGGATCCTGGACCAGCGAGCCTGGGCTGAGATTCTGATTACAGCCCGCGGCTGATAACTCTGCGCAGGTCATTCACCTTTCCCAGTCTCACTCTCCCAATCAGCCATGGCTCCTCTGCAGAAGCGCTGTGATCAAAATGAAAGTAAGCTGCATGTCTAAAAACACTACATAACTGAAAACAATCACTGGAATTTAAAACAAAACAAGAACAAAAACAGCCTGTACTCAGTGCTCCCTTCTTCATGACGCCTGCCCTCCTGCCATTCCCCAGCTCTAGACCTAGAAATCCTCATTGGAGGGTGCCTCCCTTAGAACTACCTTAGGGCCAAGGAGCTGGGGGCCCACCCACACCAGCAGGCCTGGCCAAAACTAAGCTGAGTCTGCCAGATGTGCAGCCCAACCGACTTAAGCTGCATGGGGGGAAAAAAAAAATGCCACTGCTTGCTTATGTAAAATCCATCTGGATCCAAAGCAGAAAATCCAAGTTGGAAAGGCCCTCAGAGACCATCTGGTCCACCCTGCTTCATCTCCTAGTGAGGAAACTGGGGCCCAGAGATGGGGAGCAACTTGCCCAAGGTCAGTCGGCAAGTACATGGACAAGCGGGACTAGAACAGGTGTCCTCAGACTACCGTCTTCTGTACCCTTCCCCACTCCAGAGCACACCCCTGGGCCCTCCAAGCCTGGTCAGAATGAGGATCCAGAGCTTTGCGGCTGGCTGGGCTCCACTCCTGGTAATGGGAGCAACACGAATCAACTCGGTTCAAACATTTGCTGGGTCCCTGGTGCATGCCAGATGCTGGGGATGCCCAGATGAAGGCCGTCTTTTTACAAGGAGCGCAGAGAAGTAGAATGTCCTTGCCAAGTTCTACCATAACCCCAAGAACCCCCAAATACTCCCCAATATTGTGAGGTATGGTCAGGCTGGGTCCTAAACCACCTCTCTGCCAGCCCTCAACTTGCTACCAGACACGTCTCATGCCACAGGACCAGGGTTCTGTCCACCTTAGACACCTCAACACCAAATAAGAAAAAGCCAACAGACGGAACCTAACGTGTGGATGGCCACACCTTGTGACCCCAGCAGTAGCCTTGCAGCCTGGCAGTCTGAGGAAGTAAGCCCCCTGTGTTCCTTTCTGAGGGGCTGGGACGGGGGGTAGACAGCGGCTCCCTCCCACCCACCCTGGAGGCCCCACTGGCTTCGAAATTTAGCACCAACCGGGGGCGGAGTCCTGATGTGAAAACTGGGCTGGCCACCGTGGGACAGAATCTGGTCAAAGCTGGGTCAGCCAACCCAGGCTGGCTGTCTTGGTGCAAAGACCCTCCCCCTGCCACAGAGCTGCCCGCCCAGACTGTGGCCAAGCAGAGGAAGAAGTGCAATTGTTGACAGCAGATAAAACCCGATAGCATCTCTATTTCCCTTCTAATATCGGAGTGGCCGCCTGCAAGATGAGTGAGGGGGAGGGCCGGCAATCAATAGCTAATATTCCCATCGTGAGCCAGCCTACTCTGGAAATGGGCAGTCACTACCTCCTTCCAGAGAGATACCCTTTCCCCTCAGCAGTGACCCAGCCTGAGTAGGTCAGCATCACAGCCAGGAGGCACCCTATCCGCCTTCATCTTTATCTGATTAGAAAACGATGTCCTCACCTGAGGAGGGTGTGGGGGGGACAAAGTCAGCCAAAGTCACCCAGGAAGCAGGAAGCAGAGAGTCCGGGGCACACGGGTCCCTGCTCCATGTCTACCCCCCGCCCCAACTCTTGGTGGTTCATCCTGACTGGGGTTCAGAAAAGACCTCCACTCAAGAGGGTCCAAAAGTTACCTTTGTTTGATGGTGGCTGGAAGTGGCCAAATAAGGACAAGAATCAGTCTGGGCTTTCTGACCACACACCCCTGAACGTCACAGGGGAGGGCCCGAGAAGTATGTCTGGAATTAGGCCTTAACCATGGACAATTATACCAAAGCAGGAAGTTAAGAACTGCCCACATATCAGGGAGACCTTGCCTTGCCCAGACTCAGGCCAAAATAGAAGTTAACGAACGACGTATTTAAAAAATACAGCTGGCTATATTCTACCTCTTCCCACCACAGCGGCCTGCACTGGGCACTCAGATGCCAGCAAGTAGCCTCAACAGGCATGCACACAGGTGGAGCCTGGTATCCAGGGCTTTGTCCACCAGGCAGGAAAGCCACAACTGCACGGTATCCAGGGTGCCCATGGCATCGTGTAGGAAGATGTGTAAGCCTGGGAAGGAAGGCCCAGGCAGGTAGAACACCTGTGGGAAAGGCAAGCAACTAGGTACAGAACACCCGTCTACGGTGGCCAGGAAGATGGCTGCCCCTTGGCATGGATGACCGTCTCAGACAGCAGTCCCTGGGCTTCCCCTGTGGGGAAAGAGCAGAAGCCCGCCTGGCTCCTTTCTTTCTTTGGGTTTCCAAGGATCTGAATGTCTCCTTCTCTTCCAAGTCTGACCCCTCTTCCCAATGCCTTACCTCAAGCCAAGCCCCGAGCAATGCCTGGTCTGGTCTAATCAAGAGCCGACACACCCCATTTCCGCCCCACGGCAAGGCTCCAGTTTGGGTGTCATGCTAGGAATGTATACAGATATATGTGTGGCCATCCAAAGCCCTCAACCGCCATCCCTACACCCCTCTCACTCACCCCCACTGCCATCGTAGTGGTGGGCAACCTGCTCTTTCTGGTTTTGGGGAACAACCAAATTTCACTGATTCCCTCCTTGGTTAGTAAGCAGCACGTCCAAACCCTTCTCTCCTGGGAGTCAAGATCAACCGAAATGTGAAATCTTACAAGGTAGAAGTGTCAACTAGGTCATCTCCCACCCAGGGAGAAAATCCCCTTAACATCTCTTAAGAGGGGTTTGTCCCCCTTTTGCTTAGATGTCTTAGTAACAGGGAGCCCCCGCCTCCTGCAGTCTGCGTCTCACTGCTGGACACGCAAGGCGTGAAATTCTGGCTTACACCAAGCAGAAGTCTCCTTGAACTTTGTCTCAGTGCTCCCAGTTTTGAATTCTTGGGCTTCACAGAGAGATCTTGGCCGCCTTTTCTATACAAAGTGCTAGCATTTCAACGGGGTGGGAAACACAGGCAGGTTCTCAAATCCCGCCGCAGACAGGTTTGAAGGAATGAAATGTTATACTCAAAGAAGCTCCTTCCAGCCCTGCACGCTGATACCTCCCTGAGATGGCATTCCCCAGTCTCAGCCTGGTTAAAACCGAGTGAGTCCTTCCCGCCCCCCCTCCCCCAACCCAGGGGACTGCAGAGATAGGAGGAGGCGGCACAGAGGGGCCGGCAGCCACACCCAACCCTGACAGAAGACAAAGCCCCCAGAGGCCGACAAGGTGTCTTTTGGAGAAGACCGGGCTCTCACCCCACGTGGGACCTGCCCCTGCCTTTGGCGGGCGGAGTGAGGGCGCAGATTCTCGCGGGATGCCGACTGTGATCACACTCGGAAAAAATCAAGTGGTTAACCAGAGGGGAAGGATTCCGAGACCTGCCAGGATGGTGGGTTTTTTGGTTTTTTTTTTAGATTACGCCTAAGGTTTGTAGTTTGGACAGGCAAAGTAAACAATGACGATGACAGCAGCAACAAAACAGAAACAAAGAACAGTTTACTTGTGTTTAAAAAAAAAAAAAAAAAAGCCTTTTGTTATAAGACAGCTCCCCACGGCCTTGGAGGCAGTCCCACGGCCTCCCCGACCAGGGGCAGGCTGTGTGGTGCCTTCAAAGCTGCTATGAAGAAAACCAGCTCGGGCACAAGTGACACAGCACGTGCAGGGGCAAGTGGGGGCTGCCTCCATCTCTTTTCTCCCCTCCTCAGGTTTTGGAAGGGGTGGAGAAAGGGACAGGAGGGGTTGGAACCAGCATAAAGCAACTGTATTTAGACCATGGCAAACTGAGCTACTACTTACTTTTCTCTCCCTCCCTCCCGCCTGCCTGGGCCTGGCCTGGAGCGAAAGGAGCAGGGGACCGAGGGGGCCCAGCACGTACCTGAAAGAAACCCGGCGGGATGGGGCCTCCCGGCATCCCATCGTTGGGGGGAATGTTGCCAAGCACGGGGCTCGGGGCGGCTGCCGCACTCTGTGGAGACAAGGAAGCGGAGAGTGAGAGGCTGCACCCACCCTGAGAGACCCGGAGCTTCCGACCCCTGGCCGCCCGTTCTCCCTGTCCGCTCGCATCCTCCACAGACCCTCCTCGAACACCACCTTCCCAGGTGTGTCTCTCACTGGGCAAGTGAGGAACTCTCCAAGCCTCTGTTTTCTCATCTCTAAAATGGGAGAACAACACCCGCCGCTTCACACATGCATTGCAGAGCACAGCACACAGTGGCTGTTGCTAATGTATGGGTGTTCTGCCTTAGCCTCTCAGCTGCTTTATGAAGCCCCTGCAGGGCAGCCGAGGTGCTTTATAAATGTTTGTGCCCTCTCCAAGGGGCTGCCATGCTGCATGGAGAGCAGATCAAGCACTATCCACAACTTAATGAACGAACAGACAACCCTGTTGGGAAATGTCCCTGGAGAGGTCGAAGGAGGGCAGGGGTCTGTTGGGCCCCATCAGGGTCCTGGGTGCCACAGGAGATGTGGTGGGCTGCACAGTGGGGGGATGGGAGGCACTTTTCTTCTTAAATGCTCCTATTCCGGCATTTACCTGGTACATCTGCCTCAGCAAATGCCTCCTGAGGGGTGAACAGACGTCGTTCTCCCCAGCCTGGCCTCCTTCCAGACAATCTGTGTCCCACCTGCCATGTGGTCAGCACGTCTGAGCCTGGGCCCGCACGCACACAGGCAGGGTGAGGCTGATGGGGCAAGTTATGTGCCTCCCTCCCAGGCTGGTGCCCTGCACACACACCCCTCCTCCCCCCTAGGCACTCCTCCTGCAGGAACCCCCACTCCCGCCTCAATGTCACCAACCTCACACACATCCCCTACTGAGAATTTGAGACTCAATCGCCAATCGCCTCCCAGGGGTCTGACCGGTTCTCAGGGACAAGGGTGAGCCCCCTGGGGTCAGGAAACAGAACACCTCTTTTTCTCTTACAAATGCAGCAGAATTCACTTCTTCCCTTTCCTCAGCCAGGAAATAGGAACCAGAACTCCTAACTTCCAACTTTGATAGAAGGAAATGAGGTAATGTGTGAATTCCGTGGACACACGACCCGTAGCAAGATGAACCCCTGGGGACCCACGCATCTGGACTCCAGGGCTGTTACCTGTACTAGGCAACAGAGGGCCATGGGCAAGCCACCTGGCCTTCCCGCCCCAGTTTCCTGTACAAAGTGGGGATCGCTGTTGTCCTGCCTGCTCATCAGGGCTGTGGAGGATTATGGGACAGGATGGGCTGTGTTTGTGAACCGGGAAAGCTTGGTAATCTGGGAGCAAGGAGGGCTCAACATGGGCAGGCACCGGGTGTCTTAACAGACCCAGCTAAAGAGACTGGGGTGGGGATGGGCTGGCCACACGAGCCCAGCATCTCAAAATGCTTCTGCCTACGGACAGGCAACCCTCTCTGTAATTAAAGAGATTCCACCAACCATCCTGTCATGTGTTACAAGCAACCCCAAACATCATGAATGAGGTCTTCCCACCTTCCTGGGTGAGAGCCCCACTCAGGAGGAGGAGGGGCCAGCCTGCCTCTGCTAGCCCCCTCCCCTCACGCCAGCATCATCTGGGTAAGGGCCGCCTGGGGGAGTATGCCAGGCTATCCGTTAGCTGCACTGTTTGTCTGTGGTTGGTGGTTCTGTGGAAATGCAACTTTTCAGGATTTACAGCCAACAATCATTCCTCAGAAGCAGGGGCAGGAAAGTTTGAAAGAAAAATCAGAGTGAGGTAAACAGGCTCCCACGTCTTCAAGTTCCGTCAGAGATCAGTCTTACATTTAACTCTTTAATCTTTCAGGAACTTATTTTGGTACATAATATAGATTTTACTCCGAAGGCAGTGGCCTCAGTACGACTTTGCCCCGCTCATTTGAAACCCGGAGGCAAAATCCTTACAAAGGCTCGGGTCTGTTTCTGCGCTTTTAAATTCTGTCCGACATCTCTATCATTCCATTGCCATGATCGGAGTTTCAACCGTGGATCTTCCTTTCTCCTCCAATTCTTCAGTGGAAGTTTTCTGGCTCATTTTCACCTACCTATCCCTCCAAACATCAGATCATTTATAAAAGTCACCCCCCTACCAAAAGAAAAAAGTTCATATACATATAACACACACAAATAGACACACATCGATGCATATATGTACAGTATAGGTACATATACGTATATGTACAAATCTGGAGGAGAAATGCCATCTTTCTCAAACAGAGGTGACCTCCCAGGACATGGTCTTTCCCCAATTACTCACACCTCCGTGCAAGTCGCAGTTGAGCGGGGGGTGGGCACAACAATAATGAGCAGGTAGGCGGGAGTGGGAGTGGGCGACATGGGGAAAACCAAAACCCGGTATTGCTAAAACTAAATGTTTTATTCAACAAATGTGGCACCAACTTGTCTGTAGGACAAGGACCGGAAGATGGAGCTCCTGACTGGGGAGGCCCTGGGTGGTGTGCCTGGCAGGAGCCATTGGGCCTGATGCTAGAAACAGGTTGGGTCCTCCCTGCCACCCCCTGCCCCATCTACCCCTGAGCCCCCAGGCAGCCTCTGAGGTAGCCACAAGCAGCCCTGCCTGACAGACGCAGGCGGGGACGGGCTCAACACAGCCCTCTCCCCGTTTGCCCTCCTCTGTCTGAATCTACTCCTCTCCAGCCTTCAACCCAGAACCATGCTCTGTTTTTACAGAAAGATCTGGACAGTCTCACCAACTTGATTCTTTAAATTAGCATTTATCAATTAGTACACAACACAGCAAAGGAAAAAGAAAATTAGCCACCGTGTTTTGTTAAAGAATGTCAAGAGCACTTTCCCTTCTCATTGCATGGCCAAAGAAAACATGAGTTTTTAATGAGTCTAATATTATATAGAGGTAACATCATTTAACCAATTTAATTAGCAGGCATGGGCGCCTGGGTGGCTCAGATGGTTAATCGTCTGCCTTCAGCTCAGGTCATGATCCCAGGGTCCTGGGATCGAGTCCCACATCGGGCTCCCTGCTCCTTGGGAGCCTGCTTCTCCCTCGGCCCCTCTCCCTCTCTCTCTCTCTCTCTCTCTCTGTCTTTCATGAATAAATAAATAAAATCTTAAAAAAAAAAAAGATGCTGTTTAATTAACAGGCATTACATCGGTGCTTGCTTCCTTGGTAGTTACAAAATGGTACCTCTCTGGTATTCGGACCTATTTTTTGGATCACTACCTTTTGAAATGGGTCTGTGCTGGCCACTTGTAGATCTACTTTTATGGGAAGATGTTCATGTCCCTTGCTATTTGTACATTTGACTCTTCCCTTGGTGATATATAAGAGCTCTTTATATTTTAAGGGTATCACATAAGGATATCTTAGAATTTAAAACAAACAAACAAAAACTTTTAAATGGAAATTTGAACCCAAGAGCATGACTTACAAGGCTCCCTTCCTCCAAGATCTCATTTCCCTACAAAATCAGAAGTGAGTCCATGGTCCTAGGAACCGTGGGTGGGTGGGGGGTGGTCCATGGCCCTTTGAGTGTCAGGGCTGGGGTAACCGTGGTTCCAGAACATGGATGGTGCAATTCCCTGACATCTGGGTGGAGGACAGACTTCTGCTAGCCTCCAGTGAAAAGAAAGCCATGTTGGCAGTGATTAAGGTGGCAGGAAGCCGAGGAGACAACTTTTATCATTCAAAGCCTCATCCAGCAGCAAAAATAAGCAAAATAATTAACCTGAATTATGACGGTTACTGCTATTCTTTGATTATGAAGGAAATATGTGCTCATAAGGGAAAACTTTGAAAAGGACAGAAAAGTATGACGAAGCAAATGAAAAGCAGCAACGGTGTTACAGGGCAACAAAAGGGTTAAGTGCTAACTGTGGTTCACAAAACCCAATCCACCACACCCCCTCCGCCCACCCCCACACCTGCCAGCAGGGGCTCTTTTACCCATCTCTGAGATGGGAGGCATACAGCAGGTGTTCAATAAATGATTACAACTTTTATTATTCAAAGACCTGCTCAAACCTGGCCTTCTGGAGCCAGGCCTTTCCCGATTGCTAGGAATCGGCCTCTCCCTGCGGTTTCCAGCTTTGAGTTAGAGCTCCATTAAGGCACTCAGCAAAGCGTCTCATGTGAGTTTTCTCTAAAAACACAAAACCCAAACTGAAAAGCCCCTGACGTTCCCCGAGGCCTACAGTTGTCGGGGCTGTGGTGGGTGCAGGGGGTGGAACCCTCCCACTGGAGCAGGGCAGTAAAGAGCACTGGATTCTGAAGCCAGAGACCTCCCTGTGGGCCCTTGCTGGGAGCCTCAGTTTCCCCACGCGTCCAATGGCAGTGTTAGATAGGACAATATCTGGGGCCCCTCTTCTAAGCTGCTCTTCCCAGCCGGGTCCACACACTCGGGGGGGGGGGGCAGGGACTGGAAAGAGCAGCTCATGCATGAACAGGAGAACAGTCCTCTTTCCAGAGGACTCTGAATTTTAACTCTTCTCTGTTCACTACAGAACACTTAAGAGATCAAAGATTAAAAACCACCCAGAAACCTCTTTGTTATCAGAGACATCTGAGCTCGCCCCACCCGGGCCCTCCTCACCCACATTTATCTATATATGCATACACACATGGACTAAAAAAAGCAGAATCAAATCAGGCATGCAGTTTGGTAACTCATGCATTTTTTAAAAAACTAACTTAAAATTCTTTTCTAAATAGAAAACAGGCCTTGTACCGGGTGGCGTGGCCCACTGCAGCCAGCTGCCTCCTCTAAGACTCGGGGGTCACAGTCAATGTGCAAAGCTCAAGGTGCCTTCAGACAACTGCTTGAAGCTCTTCAAGGTCCCCAGCCAAGTACTATATTTTTGTTTGTGGCCTGGAAGCCTTCCAAGGAGGACCGATCCCACAACCCTCTCCCTAAAGAGTAGGGCTTCTTTACGATCCCATGGTGGTTACACAGCCAGCCAGGCCCAGGGCTCACTGCAACGCCTCAGCCTGCCCTCATGCTCCAGACCCAGACCG